GATACTTGGAGAGGTTTCAGCGTTGGCCATGTTCTAAGAGAAGACCAAACCCAATGTATTTCGGATAAGGAATTGACTTGGGTCTCTTGTTTTCCTTTGTTTCAATTTCTTTACATAACAATGCTTAGTCATTTTGACTTGGAATATTTCTCGTTTCTAGTACTGCAAGTAAATAAGAGCACTTCTCCGATTGTTTGCAATTCTCATTTTTCATAAGAGTGCAAACAATTGTCCGTTTTATTCTTGAGAAGTTTCTTATGAAAAAACAATTAGTTATATATAATTGCAATTGTTTGCACTCTTATGAGAAACATTGAGACCAATTGGATTGGAATAACATATAGCCAAATTCTAGTAATCACTTAAAAATAAAGGAACCGTTATCCAAATGTCATCACGTAAAATTTGAGAAGTTTCTTATGAAAAATATTTAGTTATATATAATTGCAATTGTTTGCACTCTTATGAGAAACACGTGGGACCAATTGGATTGGAATAACATGTAGCCAAATTCTAGTAATTTAAAAATAAAAGAACCGTTATCCAAATGTTATGTCATCACGTAAATTTAAAAAAAAAAAAAAAGGATCCATGATAATCATCACACTTAATTGGTCATGATTTGTTCCCTCCCGTTACACCATTGACATTTCCATTTAAATCCTGTAAATTTCCATTATGAACTGTTTCAACTTGACCAAATTCTTTCGTGATCCGCTCTTACGTGTTTATAATAGTTTTTTCTTTTATATACTTTTTCACGCTATATGTTTTAAAAGGAGGCTGTATTTTTTCTATAAATTCTGTCATAATTGGACATTCTCATTTGACACAATTTTATAATCACATGCATGCTTGTTTCTTTGAGATACAACTAAACACAACTGTAAGCAAAGGAAGAGAAGAGAGGTTATTTGTTGGTCTGAAGATGAGTTCAAGAATTAGAGCCTTTATGCTCATGATCTTGCTTTTGTTCCAAATTTGTTATGTTTCTGCACTCACAAATGGTTTGGACGGTAAGTATAAACTGGTGATGGTTAGGGTTTCTCAGATATGATAATTATAAACTCTTTGAACTATTAAAATTTGTTTATTCCTTTGTTTCCAAATATGGTAGATCGTTGCATGGACCATTAACTATTTAAAAATTGGTGCAGCTTCTGTATTAAAAGCCATGAAGAATGAATGGAGCAGGTTTCCTGAGAGTTGGGAAGGCTCTGATCCTTGTGGGACCAATTGGATTGGAATAACATGTAGGAATGACCGTGTCGTCTCAATGTAACATATTTATTTCTTTTCTTTTATTGACTTGCAGTTTCTTCCAATTATATATACATACTTCAACGTTGTGTTGTTGCTTGTTGCAGATCATTAGTTAACTTTAACTTGGAAGGAAAGCTTTCTAGTTATATTTCATTCCTGTCTGAATTGCAAATCTTGTATGTCTTTTCTTCCTCTAATTACTATTTTTCTTCTACATAGAAATGGATTTTGTTTTCATCTTATGATCTAATGTTCGCAGAGATTTATCATTTAATATTGGATTGTCCGGACCGCTTCCACCAAATATCGGCGATCTTAGGAAGCTAACGAACTTGTAAGCAAAACAGATCATTGGATCTCTAACAACTAATATATTTCCTTGTCTTATCTCGTATTTTAACTAACTATTTTTACTCTTCAGAATCCTCGTGGGATGTAGTTTCAGTGGTCAAATCCCTGAGTCCATTGGTTCACTAGAACAACTAATATATCTGTAAGACTTGCTTTCTATTATTATTAAGAAAACTTCTAGAAAAGGACATTAGTACATTTTTGTTACCCCTTACGCAAATATCTTGTTATTTTTAGAAAAAAAAAAAAAATTATAATTTCTTTTGTTGTATGTACACATTCAAGAAAAACAAACTCTAGATAATGTTGGATAATTTGATGTGTGTTAAAAAATATAGATTGATTTATTAAGAAAATTGAATAATTTGGTGTATGTTCAAAATATGGTTTTATATAATTTTTTGTTTTCATAATCCACTTTATTCAGCATGCATTAATGATTAAACTATACCTTTTAACGACAAATTTAAAAACAATAATTCAAAATATACCTTCGTAAATTTAAAAATTGATAACGTACGGTCTTAAAAAAAATTTTTAGTTATTTTTAACAAAAAAAATTGATATCAAAATATATAGTTTAATGTTTTTATTTGAAGTAATTTGGGTATTAAAGTAGTTACATAAATATTGTTGGCATATTGTTTATGGATTCTTTTCAATTATAAACTTTTTCAGTTCGCACTCTCTGAACTCATTAGTGTCAATTTATATAAATTGAAGTGAAATTTGAAGTGAAATTTTTTTTTCAGTACTTTACATAAATTTTAGTTGGTGAATTTGTATGGATTTTTACAACAAAAACAAATTCTTTTTCATTGTGTACTCTCTAAACTCATTAATATCAAGTTGTATTTCCTATTTGCAGCTCCTTGAATTCAAATCAATTTGGCGGAACAATTCCGGCTTCCATTGGGCGACTATCAAAACTATACTGGTTCGATATATCTGACAATCAAATCGAAGGAAAGCTTCCAGTTTCTAATGGGACTTCTTCACCAGGACTTGACATGCTTGTTGAAATTAAGCACTTGTATTTATAGTTCCAAATTTCTCTATTTATTTTTATATAACCACTATTTCTTACATATTAATTGATTCGAAACTCACTTTATTTTTTTGGCAAGTCATTTTGGAAATAACAAGCTTTCTGGCGATATTCCAGAGACGCTCTTCAGCTCTAACATGACTTTGATACATGTGTATGTTTCATACAGTAAATATGAAAGTTTTGAGTTTTTAAAAATTGATAGTAGTAACTAAATAGCTGATTGCGTCTTTTGTTATTTATCGATAGGTTATTCAATGAAAACCGATTTACGGGTAAAATACCAGACAGTCTCAGCCTAGTTAAAACATTAACAATAATGTAAGTAGTTAAAGGTTATTCAAACTGTTTATATAAATATTAATTGCTTTAATCTCATATGTTCTTTCTTTGTTCCAGACGTCTTGATAGGAATGAATTAAGTGGATATATTCCTTCAAGTCTTAATAATCTCATAAATCTAGATGCACTGTAAGTTATTTGAGTTTCGTTATGTGTTTGTATATAGAAAGGAAAACAAGTAAATGAGTTTGTAGTTGAATCCATTTCAGAGACTTGTCCAACAACAAATTTACGGGTATTCTTCCAAGTTTAACCAACTTGAGCATGCTCACTTTCTTGTAAGTATTTCAACATTTTCTTTTTTTGCTATCACTATCTTTCTCAAACTTTCATTTTTAATTAATATAATGTCATGATGTGATTGTAATGTAACAGAGATGTGAGCAATAACCCTTTCAAATCCTCACCCATTCCATCATGGATCTCTTCATTACATTTACTAGCAACATTG